CCCCTAATCATCTTTGTTGCTCTTCTCTGTACTCTTTCTAAAGTCTCAACATCTTTTTTACATCGCGGTGACCAAAACTGGATGCAGTATTCCAAGTGTGGCCTTACCAAGGCATTGTAAAGTGGTATTAACACTTCACGTGATCTTGATTCTATCCCTCTGTTAATGCAGCCTAGCACTGTGTTGGCCTTTTTGCCAGTCCAAAGGGCAGAAACTGACCAGCAAACTTGGATTGATTTGGTCACAGTGACTCCAGAAGCAGTGGCAAATCCCAGCAGAGGCGAGGGGTGTAAAAGATGATACCCTGGCAAGACGGAGTGAAATTCAAGAAGAATGGATGCTTTACACAGGAGCTAAATAGCTGCCATGTTCTCTTGAGTGTGAACAGGACTTCTGGCTCTCAATCTTTGGAGAAGATTAACCCACTGCTCATCAAATGCCCACGACAATGGAAGATACCAGACCCATCAAAACACGATACCCCAGGGAAACAGGAAAATATGTCACAGTTGCACCCAGTAGGCAGTTGGGGGGCATTTCTACAAAAGGCAACTGGCATTTCTCAGGGCCTCAAGATGAGCTTAAGATCACAAAGAGGGTTACAAGAGTCTCAGTGCATGGCGGTGACAACTCATAATGAGACCATCTTGATCCATTAATCTCTAGGGATTATGTATCAGATTTCCTACCAGTAGATTTTGGTCCTTTTAACTCTGTCAAACATCCTGGAACTCTTAAGAAGAGCAGGATACCTAGTGGAGAAATAAAAGCTATTTGTCTTCACCGCTTCACCACATCTAACAAAATGAAATTTCAATGATGAAAAAAGTAAGGTTCTACATTTAGGGAAGAAAAACCAAATGCACAGGTACAGTATAGGTGGTACCTTGCTCAATAGTAGCAACTGTGAGAGGGATCTTGGAGTCCTATTGGACAATCACTTAAATATGAGCCAGCAGTGTGCTACAGCTTCCAAAAAAAGCCAACACAGTGCTAGGCTGCATTAACAGAGGGATAGAATCAAGATCACGTGAAGTGTTAATACCACTTTATAATGCCTTGGTAAGGCCACACTTGGAATACTGCATCCAGTTTTGATCACCACAATGTAAAAAAGATGTTGAGACTCTAGAAAGAGTGCAGAGAAGAGCAACAAAGGTGATCAGGGGACTGGAGGCTAAAACATATAAAGAACGGTTGCTGGAATTGGATATGTCTAGTTTAATGAAATACGGACCAGGGATGACATGATAGCAGTGTTCCAATACCTCAATGATTGCCACAAAGAAGAGGGAGTCAATCTATTCTCCAAAGCATCTGAAGGCAGGACAAGAAGCAAAGGATGGAAACTAATCAAGGAGAGAAGCAACCTAGAACTAAGGAGAAACTTCCTGACAGTTAGAACAATTAACCAATGGAACAACTTGCCAACACTCACCAGAGGTTGTGAGTGCTCCATCACTGGAGGTTTTATAGAAGAGATCGGACAACTATCTGTTTGAAATGGTATAGGTATATTCCTGCCTGAGCAGGGGGGTGGACTAGAAGACCTCCAAGGTCCCTTCCAACTGTTATTCTGTTCTGTACTGTTCATGCATCAACATCATCATTGCAACAATAGCACTTAAATGTATATAACGCTCCATAATGCTTTACAGCAGGGCTTTTCAACCAGTGGTACGGGTACCACCTGTGGTACATTGGCACCTGGCAGGTGGTACGCGACCATCCTAGAAAAGTAGTGGGGGAGGGGAATGAGCTGAACCGGTGGCAGCACCGCACAAGCCTGAGCGAGAGACGGCTGGAGCTGCAGGGCTGTCAGGGCTCAGCGGAAGCACCAGGATCAGTGTCGCTTTCCAGCTGATCGGCGCTTCGGGGCTGTCAGGGCTCAGCGGAAGCGCCAGGATCAGCGCCAGGGTCCAGCTGGAGCTTGGTGCTGATCCTGGTGCTTCTGCTGAACCCTGAAGAAGCACCAATCATGCTGGAAAGCAGCACTGATCCTGGCGCTTCTGCTGAGCCCAGAAGAAGTGCCGATCA